ACCAGCTCATGCTGTAACTCTGCCTGAAAGAACACACAAAGATCCCCTGAAAAGAGCGAGCTGGCACATTATAGCTGATGCCTTTATGCTGAGCTCTGATGAAAGAAATCCACCCCGCTGCCAACTTAGCTCACCTGAAATGAATGCCTTTAAGGAAAGAGACTGTACTTCTGTACCATGAGGTAAAATGCTACAGAGTGTGATGTTGAAGATTTTCGGCGGATTGAAGTGAGCAGTGCTATTTCATACTCTAAAGCTGGATTTCTGAGATGCTGAGACTCTGACTGGAGCAGGGAAGGGTTAGACTTTTTGATTGGAGAGGGCATCAAACCAGGGGGATTGACCCTAAATTTGGCATCCATTCTTTTGGCTTTTTTCATTATTGTGGTGTTTTAACCCCATACAGACCACCACCCTGCTGAAAAGAAGCAATATCTTTTGTATCTAGAGTGCAGTCTACCACAAAGGGGACAATATGTTTGACCAAAGCAAAGAAAGTGAAAAAGATACACATTTTTGCCTTTTTCCTGCTCTTGTACCGTTGTTGTCTGCGTTCCCTCTGAGCGCGTGGTTCTGTATTTAACCGCAATATCTCTCCGTAAATGATTGTGAGATGGCTGTCGGTTGCTATAGCTCAGGATCTGTGATCTCCGCTTGGAACAGGCAGAAGCAGAAGAACATTTGTATCAGACGTCAGCTTATGTGTCGTCTCTTTGTGTCGGGAGAATAGTGTTCTTTAGGTTGTGCAACCAAAAACCAGAGAGAGCGAAAATATATATATTTCTATAAAACAAACTTACAGCAAAGTGCAACTCGGTCCTCGCCACATCCATATTTCTATAAACTGCATTTACTTCTGTGCCAAGCAACATAAATCATGTCTTATGTATCATTAATATACACGGGTGTCAATAGGAGACGCATGAATGGAAGAAATATGGTTCTTCCCAATAGAGACAGAGTTGAAAAATGGGCTGTAGATAGGGTGAGAATAGAGCCTTCTCCAGTGAGGCTGCAAAAGGCGTCTAAATCTCTGCTGCCCCCCAGTGGACTACCAGCTTATGCTGTGTGTGTGTGTGTGTGCGCGTTTGTGTGTGTGTGACACCAGACGACTGTGATGCTGACGTTTTAACCAGTTAAAGCCCTGTGTTGCTTTCTCCTTTATGTCTGATACCATGAAGGGCTGTCCCATGTTGCTGTGGCTTAATGTCTGCTGTGTTACATGAGGAGCACTCTAACGTCACTGTTAAGTACATTCCATTGTTGCAGTTTGAATGTGCTGCTTTTAGCAAATGCTACACATGCAAAGTAAGAAAATATTGTTTGTTCACTGTTTTTAAGACAATTACTGTCCAGCTACAACACAGACTCCGCCTTAAGGAGTTGGTTGGTTGTATTCAAGCTACATATATGCATGTCTCCTTTATTTTTAATCAACTTTCTGCATTTGTTTTCATGCTGGTTGCAGCACTGTTGGCGATGTCGCCTCTGCTGTTGGCCGCAATTTGGTCCAAGACAGGATATACAGCAGGATGAGCCTTAGAATATAGACTCGTGCACACCTGATTTACAAGATCACACCTTAACAGGCTGCCAAAAGAACGATTTGACATCTACCGTGTTGGTAACATTTCTCTCTGTCTTTTCAGTCTGTTACTCTTCACACATGTGAATATATATACGTTAGTAGTTTCCTTTAAAAAGTGTGTGAATGTAGCTTCCCCCCCTCCTGTTTGCACATTGTTCTATAGTACAGTTGGTAGGTGGTACACAGTAGTAATTGATTGTGCACGTGGAGATCCAAATTTAACACAAGTCGCACACATCGCAGTGGGGTAGAGACAGCGACGAACCTCGAGGCCCAACATTTTCTCGAAGAGTTGCTTTACATTAAATAGAAGTAGTTGATTTTGCACATTAACGTCAGTTTAATTGTTAAGACGCGGCACTCAATTTGTCTCAGTGGATCAGAAGTCTGAGAAAACAACCTTCATCGCAGTTCTCATGCATTATGCTTTTTAATTTCCCAGACAAAGTGCAAAGATAATTGCTGAAAAGATATGAAAAACTAACTAATTCTGTTTTTTTTTTTTTTTTCAGAATTACTTTGATTCCCTAAATAATGACTCTCATATTATCAATAATTAGAATAATAAAAATAATAGCTTGGATTTATGTAGCATTTTCGAGTGACCCAAGGACGCTTTGCACGTACAGAGAGAAAAGAAAATGATGGCAGCAGAGCTCGTTGGGGGAGACGGCATCAGCTCAGCCTTGATGAACAACTGGGTTTTGAGGAGTTTTTTTGAAAGTCACGATAGAAGGAGCGTTGCAGATTTCTGCTGGGAGAGAGTTCCAAAGGGTGGGTGGTTCCACAGGAGGAGGTCTGATAGGCACTGAGGGGCAACGGCATGAAGGGATTTATAGGTGAGGAGGAGGTATGATGAGATATGGAACTTGACCGGGAGCCAGTGAGCGTTTATACAACAACTGGCGTACATCCAGACGCGTTAAACCTCATTTTGACCGAGAGTTTAGTTATTAGTCTGAATGAGCACCGAACATATATTACACCGCAAGTAACCGCCGTGACAGCAGTACAGTAACTCTGATGAAATCACCTGGTTTAAATTGATTTCAACGAAAGCTTCTAAAATGGATAATAGTTCTTCAAGAAGAGAGAAACGGCACTCCAGTGAGAGTAGAAAAACAAAAACTGGCTGCCATTCCTCGGCTCCACCTCATCCATTATTTTGACATATTGGAACACCTCATTATGTATTATTACTTATGTAATCTAGAGGTCATGTTTCATTTGATTTTCGTTGTTTTTCATCGGAACATGAAATTCATTTTCAATTTGACTGTTTGCCTGCCTTCTCCCCCTGTTTGCTTTTTTTTTTTTTGCCTTACTGGTCACATCTCTGCATGATATACTTAATCAGCATGAAACAGTTCTCAGTGTGGACCTAACTGCTTGCTCAGTTTTCTTTGCATGGCGTCTGAGTCTTTATGCTGCTGCCTACATCTGTGTTTGTTTTGGAGCTCTCTCCCGGTCTTGTGTCATTTTCTGCTGTTCGTAAGGAGATGCTCATTTGGATAGCATGTAGAGGACAATGCCATGGCTGTCGCTCTGATAGCTATCCAACTCCTTGATCTTCTCTCCCTGTAAACATCATTACCGCACACTGAAAACATACACATTCACAACAGGCACGCACGCACACACACACACACAGTCACATGCACACACCCACAAGCTGCTCATCCAAATCGGCGCTAACAGATTAGCAGTGATTATAAACAAACATGGAGGATTAATCCTGTGTGCTCTCAGTCTACTTTTCCACTGAGCTAGCCAGGGTAATTACCAAGTGCTCGATTGCTAGTGTAATCGCACACACACACACATGCGAACGCACACACACACCCGGGCTGCCTTGCTTCTCTGCTTAGTGGTATCAGTTTCGTGCTCATTTTGTGAGAAAGTCGAAGTCGTCTTCTCGCAAGAAATTGCAAGACAGCTGAAGTAAACACAGATGATGAGATGATTCGGCGCAACTTAATGTTCAAAAGTCCAAAGTTTGTCCTTGATGGTTGTATTTTGAAAGCAAACCGCTTCTTAACATTTGCAAATCTTACCGAGAAAGCTTGTATTTACACGGTCATTAGCAAGGTGAGAATTAATTTTTTGATCTGTTGAACACTGTGTGCTTGTTTCTTTTATTAAATTTAATTTGGTATAACATTTGATCCATTTTATCAAATGTAAAGAACATGACAGCTAATCCAGTAAGGTTTGAGAATCAGTCTGTGTGCGTCTGTCTGTTCTTTCGCATGCCACCACTTCCCATTGAAATGTTGCTTTATCATTTGGCCTCGCTGCGTTTTACCTTCTGCTGCCCTCTTACCTTTTCACAATAAATCGGTTTATTCTGCTTCCTTTGTGACGCCGCTGCATCTCCTCGGATGCGTGACCTCAGGCTGACCCACTGTATACAAAGTTGGTAGCTCTGCTTTACCTTAGAAGGGTGATTTCAAGTCCCGCAACACTTAATCTTGCACAAAGTGTGTTTAAAGCCTTACTGGACATAATGCAATGAGAATGTTGCAGATCATCTGCTAATGGTTAGACTGTTGTGAGGTGAGGAGGAGGTATGATGAGATATGGAGCTTGACCGGGAGCCAGTGAACGTTTATACAACAACTGGCTTCCATCCAGATGCATCCAACCTAATTTTGACAGAGAGTTTAGTTATTAGTCTGAATGAGCACCGAACATATTTTACATTGTAGAAATCTGCCATAACTGTTCAACTTAAAAACCACAAAAACATTTTTCTTCATCAGTAAACTAAGTATTGTATGCAATTTGGAGAATAAATCTCACACAAATCTGTCATAGTTAACAGAAATTCATTTTCAAAGCACAGTATGCAAAGTTTGATCCTGTGATCAGTTTTCCAGACAATATAAGAAGTGATGAGTCCAACTTTCCAAAAAGCCTTCGAGAGATGAAAACATATCTGCTTAATAGGACCTCAAGCCTTTTCCAGTAATCCCTTTCGCTGGAACCTTAATGCAACCTGCACACAAACATGCCGAACTAATTAAGAGTCACTCCACTCACATGAAATAGTTAATCCAGAAACAAGAGTGCATGAACATAAAATTAACAAACAGGCAATTACCATAAAATTAATTAAGTTTGTTTTCCACAAGAATCGTATTAAATGTTGGGCATTTCAAATACATATTTTTCCCAACCACATTTTCTATTTAAATTCCAGAGCTCTGTTGTAAATGATGGTAAAGGTCCATCCATCTGTTAGCCATACCTGCTTTATCTCAAAGAGGATCACAGAGACTCTATATATCCCAGCTGATGGTAAAGATGAGAAAACATTGTTATCTCTTTGTAATTTAGTTTGCTTGTTGTTCACCCGTGTGTGTGTCTCCACCACTTGGTTTAATAAAACTCCCGCTCTCTTCCTTTGCAGGTTGAAGCCATCCTCGTCAACATCTTCGGCGGCATCGTCAACTGCGCCATCATTGCCAACGGCATCACCAAAGCCTGCCGAGAGCTGGAGCTGAAGGTGCCGCTGGTGGTCAGGCTCGAAGGTAAAACGACACAAAGAAATGACATGTTTCGCCTCCTCTTAGTGAGCCAGTCCTAACTGACACTCGCACAACACACACTGAGCGTAACCCCCTCCATCAGAAATACCAACCATTGACCTCCATCTAGCCTGTAATGAATGTACTTGACCTTAATGAGGATTTCCTGATGTGGGATAATGACACTGCATAGCCTTAAACCTATAATATCTTCACACCCCTGTCACTTATCACTCATCTAGATGAGCTCTTTTCCTTGTCGTGGCTTCCAAAGCGTCTCTATTATGCCAACACGCACGTAGTACAACCAGTTCCCCATTTTCCATTTCAGCCCCACCTACCCACAAATGACGCTCATCAAACAGACATAATAATATAGCTAGTTGTATTATTTTATAAATGTATTTGCACTTGCAAAAGGCACAAAGAAGCCCACTCTCCGCCTTGTTTTAAACGGTGGGGCTATTCGTAATACCGCTGCTGTGCTCTCAGGAGCCTATCCATCTTCATTGTGGCCCAGTGTCCCAGTAAGAACAGCAGTGCATTTTTCATACATGTCACATTCTGCCGCACCTGTCATTAGCGCCAGCCAGAATAATAGTAGTGACGGCACTGATTGGTTCACCTTTCACCTGTATATGCTAATGAAACCTGTTTAGTGTATGTGTGTGGGATGGCAGCAGTGACTCACGGAGGCACGGGGCCAGTTGGTGGTTAGCTTAATTGTCAAGGTCCTGCTGAGTGGTGTGTCCGGAGCAGGAGAGCGTGCATGTGCATGTGCGTGTGTGTGTGTTGGCCCTTAGCACCTCGTACTGTACGTCTGCACACACTCTGCTAATATGGTTTGTAGGTCAGGGCATGTAAGCTGCTTCGAGAACCCAAGTGTGTGTAAAGGTACTGTAGCGAAGCATGAACATGGCTGAGAAGAGTGGATCAGTTTCACTACTTTTCCTCTTAAATGAAAATAGAAAAATCTCATGCAGGTATGTCACCTCCAATGATGCCTTTTTGCCTGAAATAATTTTGCATATTAACAAAGCAGCATATAGCAAGGACAGGTGTGTGTGGCTTACACCTAAATCCAGAACATTACACCTGGTGAGAAGGTGACAAAAAGAGATTGGTGCTAGTTCAAATGCTAAAGCTGCAAGGTGCATGTATGTGTAATATATACCATCTTAGCGATTCAGCATTTGGCTAAACATACAGTTTATTTATTTTTTCCATGTGGCTGAAGAGAGAGCCCACCATTGCGGATATTTATTGCCATAGAAGCGACCAGATTGACACTCCGAATAGATCCCTAATTAACCACCACGCATTTCTCATACTAGGCCGTGTAATTCAACCTGACTCACTAACAGTCCAGAAGGTCACTACTGGTGGATGGTCCAACCAAGTTTTTCTGGCCGGGGCCTAATCCAAGCTTTAGTTGTGGGTCATTACATCCTGGGCTGCAGTCTTGTGGAGAGGATTGGTTCAGAATCAATCAGCTCAGCTCGCTGACTGCAGGGCAGTGAGAGCGGCCCAGCGCTCTTCAACAGGATCAGAATGGATTAACAGGCACACTTTTAATTGGAAAGGCTCTTTTAAAAGGCAGGGGTTGATTGCATTGGCGGAGAGTTATGTATTCCCATATGTGGAGGAGAGGGGCCATGTGGTCTAGATGCTGATAGGGTTGTATTAGCTGATAGGGCGTGCATGCAGTGTTTGATGTCAGCTGACGGAGAGTCTAGCTAAAACGCAGACAGTTTGTAAGCTTCAGCATTAGCGCCCGTGTTCATCCGTTGCAAATTCAAGCAACAGATTCGGCACAGAACAGACATACAGACACGCTTATTGGCACAAGTGCTCAGGTCTAGGTGTGAGGAGACACCTGAGGAAGTGCTGTACTGCCCTCTTTGGCTACAGTGTGAACATGGTCTGTATTTTATTGCTCTGTGAGGATGTTGTCTGCCTCTATGAAAAAAAAAAAAATCCTCTTAAATAGCCCTCAGGGTGCAGGGAAAAAGGTGACTGCATTCACTTAACTCTGTTCCCCAGCCTATTGATTTCCTGAGCCATTCCCCAACTGTCTGTCAAAGAGTGGAGGCTGCTTTCTCCTTAAATTTTTCCTCCCATTTAATTAAAAAGAGATGCAAGGTCCTATAGTGAGGTTGAGATGGCTCCTTTAGTCTTGACAGCATCATTATAGTTTAAATAGCGATGGGCTGCGGCCATAAAGTTAAACAGATATGCATGTACACGTACGTACCAGCAGATTTATACGCATGCACGCACGCTGACTGGTTTATACGCAGATAATTTAGCAGTTTTAAATCAAACATTTGCTTTATGTTCGGTTGTAAATATCTGAATTTGTGTCCAATTTTTCATCCAGCATCAACTTTCTCCTAGAAATCGTGAATCTTGTTCCTACTCTTTGCTTCTACAAAGATTCCAACAAAAAAAAAAATGTTTAGGTCCTGCCTTGACATGACACTTTTCTTCATAGCCATGTAGGAATATAAAGAAATGCAGAAGTTCGGTTGCGTAAACAAACCCCAAGCGTGTCCCTTCCTGGCTCATAACAGCGTCTTGTATCCCTTAATGGAACTGGAGCCACTTTGAACCTTGTTACTCTCTCTGTGGCTTCTGTGTGGATCTGTGGTTGCCTGGACCTCTGGTTGCCCCCCAACCACACCAGCAGAGCTCCCCTGGTGGAGGCTGTGGCCAGCGGGAGCTAGTGATTGCCCCTACACCCACAACCCTAAGTCCCAGACCGCCTCCACTTAAGCGACGCACCCTCGGCGGCCTGTTCCACAAACGCTGATGTAATTGCAGCTTCAGTGCAGAATCCCCATCTGGTGAAACTCAGTCCACGTCAGCAAGCAAGGATCTCAACCTGCCCTGGTGGCCCTCTGAACGCCTCCGTGTTTCACTCTCTTTCTTTATTTAATGTGCATCAAGGTGGGATTATTTATTTATTCTTGTTTGATGTGTTTATAATATTAATAAGGAAAGGCACTGTATTTATATAGAACCTTCTACAAGCAGAGTTTTCAAAGCGCTTTATAGACAAGAAAAGAAGGATATTCAGGAAGACCACTGAACCACAAAAGACCAAACAGAAGGAGGAAGACCAGGGAGGTAAATGTGTAGAAATTGAGTTAAACACGGTACAAGATTTTCAAAATGAAGCAACACAGCAACACCAGATAAAATAGTAAAACGCCACATCCAAGTAAAGGACAAGTGGAATAAAAGAAAATGGAGAGTAAAACCATGAACACAAGGCTAAAAAGAAAAAAATAGGAGTAGTACAAGTAAATAAATACTTAAAGTAAATAAAGAGCAAAAGAGAATAAAATCAATACAATTTAAAAATCAATTAGATGACATAAATAGATGATATATATCTAAATAGATGTATGCGTCCAAATTTATTTATTTTTTGTTTTTTATTGTAGCATTAGAATTATTAGTATATTAGTAATTACTGTGTATCGCTGCAGTTAATTGCTTAAATATTGATGCATATTTTATGTTAAATCCATTGATTATATATAGGAACCTGTAATATTGTGATAAATCATAGGGTGATCAGGGAGTGGGAGTTAATAAGTTTATACTTCTTCCTGCTCCTTTTCAAACTCATATTTGTTCATTTTTTCCCTTGTTTTTTACTTTGTTTTTAGTTTTATTTCATTTGAAATAAATATGTCATTCATTCATTCATTGGCTGTATACTTTGATAAATAAGCTCAAGTGGTTACATTGAAAGTAAGGTGGCTAAATTACAATTAAACCTTTACTTGTAGTCATCTTCATTAAGTAAATATCAATAACGACTGAGAGGAAATTTTCTCTCGTCACAGATCGTACAGCGACATCACAGCCTCAGTCGGACGAATGAATGCCACACACAAAGAAACACACCAGACTATGATCTTATTTAATACAATAAGGCTCTTTGTTTGAGGTGAAAACACAGCAGACGAGGTCAAACTGCATCTGAGCCGAAGACGCAGTTTTAAATAAAACACGCTTAGCTACAGTACGTCTTTCTTTAACAGCAGTCTAGACAACGTAAGAAACATGAAAAGTTTGATTAATGACTGGCTAGCACATCAAAGGAGGAGCATCCCGCTCTGCGTTCAAATGAGAAGCATTTGATGTTTGACACACAGGAGCATGGCTCATCCAGTTTTGGCTGTGAAGGGGGAGAAAAACTCACTGTTTAGCGCTGATTATTATGAGGATTAACAATCAAAGTCAGAACAAGTATGATGACATTCAGTGATAAAAGAGCTCGCGTTTACTTTAATTTGAGGTAAGACTTCAAGCTGCTGCTATTTGCTGTTTAGCTTATATAAATTCTGCAACATCAAACAGTAAACTTTCTCTCTTAATATTTAGTGATATTATGGACTGTTTTATTGGGGGAGGGGGGGTATTTTTCTCTCAAATATTTGCTGCCTGTAAATCATCTGCTCTCAGATTAATCTGCTGTCAAACTCTGAAGCCTGAGCAAAAAGCCTCAGCAAACATTCCAGATACCTGAGGATTCTCTTTAATCTGTTACAGAACAGCTTCGACATTGACGAAATAAAATGTGGGAAAAAAAACACGGTATAAATGATATAAATTTAAATATTACACTTACACAATCGTTAAACTAATTAAAAAGTTGTTTTTTTGCTGTGTGAGGTGAGGAATCTAATTTTTAAAAAACTGTCACTTAATTCAACTGTATGCAACTTTTTTTTTTTCTGCCCGTGTAGTGAAAATATAACAAGATAATAGGCTTTATTATTTCTTTCTTTCTTAACAAAGACGTGTTGACACTTCATAGCGTGTGTGTGGTGAGTTCATAAAGTCATTAATGTCAGTCACTGCAGCTGTTTACACTGAAAGGACATTTGCAAGAGTAGAGTATATTGTGTAATGTTACGCAGTTTTAAGATTGTAGAACATAATAAACATCTCTCACATAATACAGGTTCAGTTTAGTTTGTTAATCGGCTTTGCTGATGGAAATAAGCCTTGAGCTGCATCAGAACAGTTTAGTCGTTTAAACGGAGCCATTGTTTGACTCCACTCGCTGGATTCAGATCAGTCCGACAGTAAACACTTGTTGATTTCGTTGCTCGGCTTGACATGAACCGAAAGGGTTGGAGAGTTAACTTTGACTGTATAGTTCTTTACAGCCGCTGCACACGAAGAGAAACTGAAGGAGATAAACTATCAAGCATCTTTTCTTCCCTTATCTGTACCTCGTTCAAGACCGTATTCTTCCTCATGTCCCTGACACACAGGGAAACATTACAGCTACAGATTTTTTTCCCTGTATGTCTGAGACGACGGCAGACTGTGTCCTCGTTCTCATCAGATGTTAGCTTCACTAAACACAGCTTGTTAAGACGGAATTAGTCACAATTTTTTAGGATCTGCAGCATCAACAGAACTCCTCCAGCACAAGTCCTTGGCACAGCCCCAAACCCTATTATCCTGTTGAAATATAGTGGCCTGTAATTGACTCAGATTAAAGTGACATTTTCACAACAGCCACGAGTAAGCCTGCTAATTGGAGCGGAGATCCGGCAGAAATGTGTTGTAAAGTGGTGATGCATCACATGGAGGAATACTTTGGGCTGCCAGATACTCTGCTGTTTCCTTGTTGTTGTTGTTGTTTTGGCTAAGCTAGTCAGTTGATCCATTGTTTAGCAGTTTGGACAAAATGCAGAGTTGTGAAAAGTGGTGGGGATGTGGTTTTTAGGCTGGATTGAAATACCAACAAACGCTTGCTACAAAACAAAGTGCAGACAAACGAGCGAGTTCTAGTAATTAGCGGGCTGACGGACAGCTCTATAAAACCCTACAGATAGTGTACGCTGTGATCAGTTTCTGCTATACTTTACTTTTAACCATTTTAACCACCAGTTTATTTTATGACGTGTAATTCCATTTTAAAATAAAAGTCCTTGTGAATGTGTGTGTGTGCATACTGTGCACTGTATGTCCCTATCCAGACTGTGAGTAGGTCTCTGGCAGCACCTAGTGGCTGCAGGTGAACACACACATTCATATACTTAGCATACTCTAAACACACACACACACACACACACACACACTTCACACCCACCCAGTGATGCTGTCTCCAGCTGGGCTCCGGTCTTTGCCGCTGCTGCTGTGAGCTATCAGTGCTCCCTACTGCTCACAGTGGAACTGCAGTCGACTGACGCACACACACACACATGCGGAGAGAGAGCCGCACAAACGCCCGTCTCTTCTTTCTCACTCCCACAGATGTGTGATTCCACCCCCGTCGCATTCTATATGGATAACACACAGGTAGCACAGATGCAGTCGTCTAAACAATGCAGCACGCGCTATTGCTGCTAATGAATATTTATGGATTGGAGGGGGAAAAAAAAAATATAGTGTATGTGTTGTTGGCTTTATTTGGTTCCTATATATACATTTTCCATAGGCATATTTATCTTTTCAGTATATGTCTTGCATTATGTATTTTCCGTGGGCTCCATATGGCTGTTTTCCCTCGCGTTAAGTTTTATCTCGTGTTGTTTCAAGTTTGTTGCACTGCAGCTTCGTTTTAATCATCTGACAAATAAACCGGTGTGATGGTGTGGATGCCGGTTTAAGTTCATGGGTCAGCCTGTTGAATGTAAAGCATTGCCAATTGAGAAACACACACACACACACACACACACAGAGGATATCGTCTGCGATCTGATGAGAAAATGACTTGAGACACCCGATCCCCTGTTTACGTGCCAGAGCAAGGTCTCTTCCTGCTCTTATTCTAATTAATTACATCGCAGAATTGATTGTTTGCAGTGTGAGGCTGCAGAAATGTGTTCGGAATGACTTATAATATAGCTGGACAAAAGAGATGAAATATTAGGCGTTAAGTGGCGCTGGTAATAGAATTCCTCATGAAAGGTCTATTGATCAGGGTGGCCGGGCCTCCGGAGAATTCACATATCATGCAGTCTTAATTACACGCCAGCCAGGAGAGCTAAGGTCAACCTGTAAGCGTCTGAGCATGCCTACACAATCCACTCGCTTAACGGCAGCCAGACACCGAATGCACACGAGCTGCAGTCACATCACACCTACTTTAATTTGTGCAGTTGATATAAAATGATTCTATCAAGTGTCAACAAAGTGTGAAAAACGCACATCACGTGTTTTCAGAGGCCAGGTTCAGGTTACTATCCTGAGAGGCGAATAAAGAATTGAAAATTAGAAGTTGTTCAAAGAAGAAGCCTGTGTTTGTTTTTTGTATATCCCAGCTTGGGAACATGTGGTCACAGTGCAGGATCAGCTGTGATAAGGAGACGGTAGGGTTAAGGGCTCAAATCTCCAAACTTCTGATCAGTAACCCAGAGACACCACTGCCTCATAAATAACTGTTGCAGTTTTACATGTATGGCATAACATTTAACGCTGCACAGCTCAGAAGCTGACAAGATTTGTTTTTAATATGTGGTTTAGTCGGTACATTAAGGCAAAAGTAATCAGATTACACAGTTTTTCAGTTTTCAGTATGTGACTGTGACTATTTTAAATGAGATCAGATGAGCCTGTATGATTGTTCAAGGGGGAGATTTGGGTGTTAAAACTGCACTAAGACAGAAAAACGTATAAATGCTGAAAAAGCAGACAACCAATACTAAAAAAAAAAGGAAGCAATCAAATGCAAAATAATAATTCAAAGCCCCCATTAAAAGACAGAACAGAGAATTGTTGATACCAGATCAGACAGATTCTGTAAATGGCCTTTTTCTTTTCTGGCCATATTCATGTGTGAAGTCAGTAAATGCCACATAAACAGCTGGCTTTTGTTGTTTTAGCAGCGAGGGGGCGATTCTGCTTCATTTGACCTTTTGCTCTGTTGCCCTCTCCCTCTCTCTCTCTCTCTCTCTCCCTCCCCTCGTCCTTCCGTCCACCGCGGCGCCCCCTGCCCTGTGTTGTGACAGGCTTGTCAGCCTTGTATTTGGCTGAGCAGTGTGCAGCGCTGGGAGGCAGCCAGTTCGCTGTGTAGAGCCTCGGGGCTGAGCAGGATGTCTCTGGGTGTCTCTTTTCTCTCTCGCTCTCTCTGCTTGGTTGCGGGTCTACCAGGGCCGTGGGTGCCACCGTATCACCCAGCACCTGCTACCCCTGACCTTGCTGCAGCCAGGGGAGCACACACACACACACACACACACACACACACAAAAATTTGCCCTTTTGTCATTCGTTCACGCTCAAAGCCGCTTTCGGATCAGCGGTCGAATGTGCCGCCGTTGACCCATGACTCCATCCATCTGCCTGCGTGGATTGATCCCTCCAGAGGAAGTCTCCGTCTTTCACACGACGTGGTTTTGAACATCGGTGCAGATGGCAGATCAGGTTCAACCTTGTAAAGACGGTTTTTTTGTTGCGTGTCATTTCCATTGTTGCCTGTTTGTAACAGCGTTTTCTTGTGTCTGGTAGGGACCAACGTCCACGAGGCGAAGAGGATTCTGAGTGAGAGCGGCCTGCCCATCACCGCCGCAGAAGACCTGGACGATGCCGCCAAGAAAGCAGTGGCTGCCATCAAGAAATAGAAAAGCTGTGTAAAAACTCACCACGCTCTGTCCGCCCATCACTAACATTCATGTCAGCCTTAGATCATCGCCATCAGACTTTTTCTTACACATGCAGAACCAGAAGACTGTGTTCTCAGAGGCCTTTTCTTTTTGTTTAACACATGTTTTTCACACATCATGCTTTCTGAGGTGGCTTATGACGCCTTACACAATTCAACTTTTTCTAATTATTGCTTCTGTGCGGTGCAAATTGACTGCTTTTTTTAATTTCTAATCATTTCCCCCATTTAAATACATACTAACTGGGAGAATCACTTCCATGCTTCTTGTTATTTTACAGTAGAAAAAGTCAACATAATCCTTTCATAAACTGTTAGAAAACTCTTGCGACATCTGTCAAAGGTTGGATGGAGAGCCAGTACTTCATGCATTCCATTTTTCAAGGCAAAACACAGCTTCTTTTCTCTCTCTCTACATATTGTTTCATTTCTATGGAATATTAACTGAGAAAGACATTTTCCATTTTCACGTCCAGCCTTTTGTGTACGATACTTTAAAGGCTCAGACGACGATTCATGAGCTGTGAAGGCGTTTCGTTGGCACCAGCTGTAACTGAAGCGAATGAAAGCGTTGCAGCGAGCTCTAAACTTTGGATCAATCCGGCTGTTTACTTTATTGTCCAAGTTAGTTACAAAGCCTTACCTGTGTTTCAAACGAGGTATGAAGTACCCACTCTGTGAATTTGTACATCATGTCTTATTTATAAAGTGCTCCGATGATATACAGCCTGTTGCCTGCTTTAATCTGTGCCTATTAAATGCAGGCCGAAGGCTTTTGGAAACTATCTTGGCAACTCTTTCATTTCCAGCAAATAGTTTCTAACAGAGGTGTTGAGAAAACGAATCAGAAAAGAGAAATTGTACTTTTCTTTTTTAATAATCATGAATGTATATTGACAGGATCTCTGGAATACAGTGTCAAAACTGTGTATATAATTTGAGATATTAAAAACAAATGTTTCAAGACGACTTACTCGCGTTTGTTCATCCTGGGGGAAAACTGGCAGCAGATGGAGAGCAAGGAGGATGTGGAAATAACATTCTGCTGCTTGTACTGGTTTCCTCTGAAGAAAGTACATTTGCAGAATAAATGTTGGGAAAGCAGAACCTCAGCAGTTTGGGCAGTTGTTTGCCTTTGAGCCCTGACACGATCGACTACCTGAGCAAGAGAAAACACAGCCCAGCCTTGAGGTAACTTTTGCATATACGCCAGATACTTCTTCGAGTAGTTCGAGTGATCTTTGCAGTATGCGAGTCAGTTTGTTTTTGCTTTAGATCCACCAGTGTTTTGTCCCAAATCCGAAAGTATTCTGTTTACTGTCATATAACAAAAGAAAAGCATCAAATCCTCACATTTGAGAAGCTGGAATCAGCAAATATTTCCCCTTGCTGTCAGGGAAAAAACACAGATCAAAGGGCAGGTTTAGTGTAAGTTCAACTTTGTTTTGATCGGTCCGCCCATGTGGAAGGTTGGCAAAGCTCTATGTCTACCAAGCGTTTAGTTTAATATGCAACCACTGTTGGAAAAAGCTTTTTCACAATAACAGTTCAATGTCATTTCTGTCCTCTGGTCATAATTTAGTCTATAAAACTTTAGAAAGTGTAAAAGTTCATCATCGTTTCCCAGATTACAAAGTAACAACTTTAACTGTCTGGTTTTGTCCAATGACATTCAGTGTTTTTTAAATTTCTTGAGTAAGTTCGGTGTTGACTTTAACATGTTTGGTATTTTTGCTGAAAGAATTATGATTTTGTTTCTTTTTTATTAAAAAAAGTAGTTGTCAATAAAGTGTCTTGGGGTCGGTTTACTAGTAATTCAATTAATATTATTTATTTTTTGGTACATGCTCATATTCTAATGCCTCGCAATAAAAGGCACAAACATTTCTATAAAAAGGCTGTTGATCTATAAAATGAAAGGGCCACGACTTGTAAAATAAACAATTAAAGAAGCGTATTTAAGAATTTTTGTCGCCGTATGATCTTGTGTTCAGATATGTTGTACAGCATGTTTATTATCGCCGCGGACTTAAAACTTATTAATCAAATCACAAAATGATGCCAGTTTATTATGTTTGCATTTAAAACACTGATTCAGATTCATTTGTCTACCGTGAGCCACAGTTTTCACTAAATATTTATCCAAAATCTAAAAATGTGTGTAATTCACAGCATATTGTACATTTCCAACAGTTTTTTTGTCCTACAAGTCTTCTTTCTTTTGTGCTTTTCATCTGCTGATCAGTGAGCACACAAACACAGTTAAACTCCTCAACTCGCCCACCTTCAGTCCTCTAATGAAACTCAAGTGTACGTCGTCCCAAGAGAGAGACTCGAACGGCGCGATTGTCCTTCATAGGCCCTGTGCGAGCCATACCGAGAGACAGAGAGTTGACTGAGACCTCTTCCTGTCAGACACACCGACTGTGTGATGGATTATCTGTCAGGCAATCTGAGAGGACGCCCAGACTCACAGGATCGACTGCCACCTCCATGAAAGACACACATACAAAGCACTTTTTTTTTCTTCTCGTATGCACCAGAGAGGAACACTCTCTGTCTCAAACTGGAGCTCCACTCTTAAAACACCAGCAAACTTGTTTTTTCCTGACTGGACAAAGTCAAGAGTACTCCACAAGTCCCACCGCTCAGTGCTGCAGTCGCCACGCAGCTTTGTTAGAGTTCGAGGTGACACACTGCGTATTAACGGGATGATATTAAGGGAAATTGCTCGGCAGCTACTACAATTTATTTGCAATGTATTAATTTTTAGCGTCCCTATCACTGCGAGCCATCTCAAGACACAAGCTCCGAGGTCTGGTGCTCTGCGCTGCACCGTGCCAGCCAGCCGAGCCGTAAAAATGGGCTGAAGGGTTCAATAATTGCCTTATTTCATGCTCTTCCCTCCGTGTGTCAGAAATATCCCCGCTGATGGATTGGACGGAGGAATTTAAGGCTTGTTAAAGCGGGCTTCTTGGGCCCTGATATTGTTTAATTCAGTGTCAAGCTGGAGGTCACAACGAAATGTGCACACTGATTTACTGGGCAAAATTAGTGCCGCTCCTTCATATAAATATAGATGAGGAGGAAAGAAGCTTTGGAGGTCAGCCCGAAGACTTCTATCATGTAGCCCGCTGCTTTTAACTCGGCTAATACCTCCGTGGGTGAGAGAACCGGGGTGTTGTTTTAAATGACCCTCCGGACGGGCTGCTCCTTTAATTAAGCTGAATTATTATGCCGCGGGAGTTTTATTTTTCACTCTTGGTGGCTCACTTTATTTGCCTGTGTAATTGTCCATTTTGCTTTCTCAAAACACGGCAGCTTTTTTATGTGCTTTCTGAATTGATGTCAGAATGGTAATTGCCACTTTATGAAGCTGCTTTCGGTGTTTAAGCGTGTTGGGAGAACCGCTGCTCGTGAAAAGCATTCTTTCAGACAACAGGGTCAAGGCCGTCTCTAAGGAAATATTGGATATTTATTGAGTAATTTGGAAGCAACAACGATGAACATATTAGTTCATAAAAAAGCAATAGTGGTATGAATTGCCTCCGGCTATTGTACTTCATCTTTCAGGGACAAGGGGTTGTTCAGTATTTACAATTTTCTGCCTGTGCTTCTGTCGACCAGGCGGTGGACTGATAAGGGTGTGTGTGTGTGTGTCATTATATTGATGTGCCCGTCCTTGTATGCAGGTTCATGCAGAAGTTCTAAAAGCTGGTAACATGTGAGGTGTGTCAGAAAAGGTCCAGGACTGGTGTCACATAAGATATATTTCAAACCCAAACTTTCCCCTTCAGACGATCAACCAGCTACAAAGAGATCTGTTTGCTTCGTTCAGCGCACGAGAAGATTTGTGGCAGGACGAGTCGTGGCTGCTTCACCATGACAACACACCTGCTCACAACCCCCTGAGCATCCCACAGTTCCTGGCTGAGAAGAACATCGCCGTGCTGGAGCAACCTCCCTACTCACCCCACTTGGCTCCATGGGATATTTTCCTCTTAACCAAGCTCAAGGGGGTCATCAAGGGGACCCGTTTTGAAGACATGGACCACATCAAGATGGCTGTGACGACGGAGCTGTGGAGGATCCAGGAAGAATGGTGCATGGTGGTGTGGCAGGGAAGGCTGGGAAAGAGTGTTAGACTCCAGGGGGATTACTTGAAAACTTGAGGTTTGTAATTTGGATTTGAAATATATCTTTTGTGACACCAGTCCTGGAAATTTTCTGACACACCTCGTATCCTCTGTGGGCTCATACAAACATTGTTTTTTTCCTTTTCTCATTCACAGAAAGTGCGGCCTCACCTCTCCACAGCCATTATTGTGTTCCCACTACTCTGATATCACACACACAAAAAAAGCTGTTGACAGGTTTTATGAAGGAAAAGCAGCACAGCGAGGTAAAAAGTAAAACCGTCAAAAGTGAAGGAGGGGCCGAGGCTGTCGGCGGAGCGCTTTGTTACCGCGCTGCTGTTGAGGTCCTCAGATTTGGCCTTGGCTCACAGATGAGCAGAAAAATCCATTTCCCTCTCTCCAAACTGTTGTCAGTATGTCTGTAATTGAAGGACTTGGAATCGATTTAAATTACCTTGGCTGTCTCGAGAAATTGAGCGAAGAGGAGGCACATTTAAAAAGTTGCAATAAGCAACACACCTCCTGAATCTTCCTTTTTTCCATGACAATCTCTTGTTTCCAGCCTGTCTCCCAGCAGCTCCCGCAATCAATAAACTTCGAGCGTCTCTTTTAGCTTCCCAGTGCAAAGTTGGCGCCCGCAAGTGAGAAGAATTTGGGAGCTTGTTTCCAGTGGTTCCCATTCAGCCTTTCCTTCCTTCCTTCCTTCCTTCCTTCCTTCCTTCCTTCCTTCCTTCCTTCCTTCCTTCCTTCCCTCTGTGCTCTGCTCATCCGTCAATTCTGCCTTCATGACGGCTTTATTCCTTCCGATTTTTCTTTTGTTTCTATGCTTTCTTCGATTTGCTGCTTTAAAACCTTCTTCCTCTGTTTCCTTTTTCACTTTTTCATCCAACATCATAGCGTCAGTCCTTCCTTCCTTCCTTCCTTCCTTCCTTCCTTCCTTCCTTCCTTCCTTCCTTCCTTCCTTCCTACACTTTCTCTCCCATTTGCTGTATTTGTTCTCTTAGTCAGCATCTGCCTTTTTCTTTCGTTCTTGCATCCATCATTTTATCCTTCTATCCTTTTTCTGCTTCAGTTCTTTGCTATCATCTATCTTTTGTTTTTGCTTTGCTTTCTGTTTTCTTCAATCCTTTGTATCGTCCATCCATCCTTCATACATCCTCTCTTCCCTCCTTCATCCTTTCTTCCACATTTGTCACTTCCTGTTTCTTTTAATTCTTTCCCTTCTTCCTTCATCTTTTCTACATTTTACTCACAATTCATTTTGTCTTTCTTATATATTTACTCTCACTCTTCTCATTCCTTCTGCACCTTTCATTCATTCACTCATTATATTTCTTCACTCCCCTTCGCCCTTCCTTCTATTCTTGCTCCCTTCCCGTCTCTGTCATTTCCCTTACTTCCAATTATCCTCAAGGTAGGCCGCTAACAACCCTTCACACTTAAAGAAAAGCCCTCGCGTAATAGGGGCTGCAAAAAGAAAGAGAGGAAAGTTAGGCTAAACACACCTCGCTATGAGTTTTTGAAAACATTTCTTAGTTCCCATCTGCCAGATCGACTTTCTCCTCGCTGCATCGTGAATTCTGGCGAGCTGCCTGCGATCCTGTCGTCTACAAAGCAGGCATCAGTGGAGCGGCCTCCGGTGTGGGAAAAAGAAGTCTCCTCTTGGAATGACAGTAGTTAAAAGCTCATTTGGTGTGACCTCTGAAAGCCAACGCCCCCTAATTAAAACAGTGGCAGCGGCAACAGAATGCTGTTTCAAATTGCTTGATAATTAGGCTCCCCAGTTATCCTGGTGGAGCGCTCGGCAGGTGTTCGGGCTGACATGCTCAGACA